TTTATAGTCATACTTTTTTTAACGAAACAATCTATAGATAATTCACGGTAATCATTTATTCGAAAATATCGTTATCTTTTATTTATGCCTGTAAAAATAATAATAGTTAAAAAGTGCTTGATATTTTTAATTGAAAGAGACAGAAAGCCAAGACATTCGCTGTTGAATAGCTGAATGTAAAAATAAAACATATATTTTCTCAGTTTGGAAAGAATTTTTTATATGAATGGATGATTAAACTAAAGAATCTTGCCTAGAAAAAGGTAACTAATGATATTCATTTGTATTTTCTCTCTATTCTCATGTGAATCTGTGTTTAAATGTTTTCACATGTTATGGGGTAAATACAACTGTGGCGAAGAGCCTGTGGTAGAGCCGAGTCGTTGATCGTGACGAATAATATTGATTTCCAAGATCATACAGTAAGCCGGGCTTGTCGAAGACGTTAGAGGGATACATGACTGAGTATTGGATACTCCAGATTTGTTGACTGTAATGTGTCGTATATAAAATTTAGTAACCTGGCTTTCCCCGTTTCGGAGCCACTTACGCGTTCCATGTCCTTTCCTCATCAAGTTTTGCGCTTCCTAAGATTTGAACACAACGCTGCTACGCCTTCCATTACGCTGAAAATCAGCTCATCCTCTCCTCGTCCCAGGCAGCATCGAGAGCCTACGTCGTAGATTGCGTTTACCACTGGGATTCCGATACCCAGCCCTGGCCGGATCGTGAGCATGTGTGTGTTGCATAGGCGTTCTAGCTCCTCTTTCTTCCGCTTAGCTAAGCCAGGCAGCTTTACGAGCCCGCTGAATCTGAGCCCCGAGCCCAGACTCCATATGCAAGGACTCACATAGCCATAGCGCGGGTGCCTACTGAATCGGAGACCTGAGGCGTCTAGATGCCGCATTATGCGTACTGCGCGTGTGTACGCCCTTTCCGGGTTCTCTCCTGTCCAATCAACCGAGATAACTTTGAGGTGGTCGTCTGAGTTAACCTGTACCACTAAATTCGACTCATCACTAGCCTCCGCGAATAGATAAAGGCCACGGCCACGCGGCCAATGTCTATAAACTCCAGAGGCGCGTCTACTTTGTAGCCGATTAGGAATTATGAGGCGCTTTTTCACCAATTGTCGATATAGACTGGGCTCAGTTTTGCGGAATTCACTCAGAGGATAGTAGGCGCCAGCCTCGTCATTATATTTGCGAAGAGCCTTGACGATGCGGTCCTCAATTACGGAAAACTGGGTGGCCTTCAGCACAGCTGGAAAGCCAAATCCTGAAGTTTGAAATTTGTTAAATTAAGTATCACAGTAATTTAATAGTAAATAGAAGACCGAGATGTGGTCTCCGTTTTGGTCGCAGTCTCCTTTCATATTTATACAAGTGGCCTGACCTCGTTTTCGAAACTGTCGTTATCAGGACGACTTAGTTGGACAAACTGCCTAAATTCTGATATAATAGCATAATTCTTAGCTTTGGGTATATACAAAGGCTACGATCTAGCGCTGGGG